TGTTCGAACTCGGCTCGATTAATTTTTCGAACTTAAAATTCAGCTCGTGTTCGTGTTCGAAAGCTCGTTAAGCTTGGCGCGTTAGGTTCGAAACCGAGCTCGAACTCGAATAGTTCGATAAAAGCTCAGTTCGTTAACAGCCCTAGCGACACCATCCGACAGGCATGAACCTGTCATTTGTCATACAATAGGGGCCCTTCGACCGGGAGAAACGGCTGAGCAGTATGAAGCATCCGCCTAGCCGCCTAGCCGCCTAGCCACCTAGAGGGATGGCGATGCTGGCCGACATGGGGGTGTGCATCAGCCTCCTGAACAACGTCATCCGGTGGTAGGGCGGCCACCAGACTCTAGGAACGACGTCAGGCCGGTAGCGGGCCAACACAGGGAGTCGAGTAGTTGAAGTCGGCCGTCGGTGAGCGGTGTGAGACAACCGTTGTCTGATGGGGGAGTCCGGTGAAGCTTGGTAGTCACACCTGCAATGCATCAGTCAGCCTTCGTGTTGACTATGGCACTAGGTCGATGATGCTCACACACGGTGATCAGTTTCCAGGGATAGAAAGAAAAAGGAAAGAAATGAGGAAAAGAAAAAAAAAGAAACAAAAAAAAGGAAAAAAGAAAAGAATAATAAAAGGGAATCCGAAAATAATAAGATAGTACTACCTCTGTCCCCTAAGTTTGGGACACAGTGTGGTGTGGTTTTGAAGAAAAAGTAGAATTGTGGTTGGTATTGAATTATTAAAGTGTGAATAAAGTAAGAATGAATTCTAACCACTCAAATATTACCAAATATGGTATGAAAAAACTTAATGGGACGGACGGAAAAGGTAAAACAGGACAGAGTTAGGAGAATGAAAGGAGTAATAATGAATTCCATGAATTTTGGGAGAGTGACCTGGATTCACAAAGTCTAGGAAGAAGCTAGATACTGGAATGTTAGGATTCTGAAGCAAAATAGCCGAGTCTTCCTTAAAAACTGAGAGGCCTACATAAATTAAGGAACTACCAAATTTAGAAGATTGCTCACAAGTATGAAAATAAGAAATTAAATTGACAAGTTAAATAAGGGAAGCCTAGAGCTCCTGACTTGTATTGCGCATGTTTGACTTATTAGGACTACTCACTATTAGTCGAGTCTACTACTCCTAAGGGAGTGAAGTACTAGGATCAGAGCCTAATCGGCCTAGGCTCCAAACTTGGACCCATGAGTCCAGGTTCGACCTGAATCAACAGATCCAAACCCAATTCCATTGTCTCACTGGGCTAGCCCGGCCAATGGGCCCAACAACCTAGGAGTTCAAGTCGGCCAAACCGATCAAGTCCGTCAAGGATTGGAAGTCCAAGACAGTGTGCCAATTTGTCATCCCAACGGGAGACTTGCCTACCAGCCCAGCTAGAATCCTATCTTCCACCCAACGGGGAGATAGCCTACCAGCCCAACCGAAGCATATCCTCCGGCCTACGGGGAGACTGCCTACCAGTCCAACTGGAAGCCCGTCCTCCGCTCAATCGTAAGCCTACCTTCAAGTTCAACAGGAAGGGAGCAAACGTCAGGCCTGTCAAGCAGATCCACCCGTCAGCCGGAAAGAGTAACATCCAAACATTAATGTGTTGATTAATTATGTATTTAATTCTATATTAATGTTGTAATTAATTGGTCATTATTGTTGGTAGCAGTTACCATTTGCAAATGCCTATAAAAGATAAGTGGAATTCAACTTACAAACATGTTATTTCTTGCAAATAATCCTCTTTAGTTATTTTTCATTTTCGTATTACTTTCTTGATTTTTCCCTCTTGATGGATAGTCTACCCGGGGGTATATATCCGAAGGGTTATTACGGGGAATAACTTAGAGAGAAGTCAGAGCGAGTAAATAAAAGTAGAGAGAGAGTGTATTTAGTGTGTTATGACTTGGTTACAAATGGGGAAAATGGGTGCTATTTATAGTAGCAATAAATGCCGGGCAGGGACACGTGTCAAGCGCTCATTGGCCGAGGGGTCACCTCAACTGGTTGGCGCTGGCAGCCGCATGTGGCCGCATTTAATGCGGCTGTTGGATGGGACGTCTGTGCGGGGTACGTTGATCTGTACACATGTGAGGCGGATATCTTGTCGAGTGAGATGCCTTCGGCTATAGAGCAGTAGCCGAGGGCTCTTCCACCCGATGGCACCCTCGTGCCGAGGGCTCACCGTGCCGAGGGCTACTGTTCTCGCCGTTTTCTCCCAGTTTCTTAGTTTGCTTGAGAAGCCCGCTCTGTGAGAATTTGGAGCCTTCGGCCAGAGGGCCGAAGGCATCCCTGTGCGTTGTGCGGACTGCTTGGTACTCTGGGCGCTGTGATTTGGGCCTGTTGGGCCTTTTGGGCCTGTTGGGCCTTTGCTGGAGTAGTAGGAGTCTTTGGGCCGGGGGTTCCCGGGCCATATACTCCATCAGGAGTCCCTCACTCCTTTTGCCGAAAGGTACTTGAGGGAAAAGGAGTAATTTGTGCTTGCCCTTTGATGTTGTCCCGTCGTGATCTCTGAAGTTGGTGAGGAGTTGTTGCTTTTATGTCCCTGCCGAAGGCAGTCCCTCAGTTACCCACATGTCGGGACTTGAGGGCTTGCTTTGTTTGGAATTTCACCAAATTTTGTAATTTAATGATTTTCCCGAGGGGGTCCTCCAGTCCCCCACTCCTTGAGGCACTTGTAAAGTGGTGAAAAGGAGTAAAGTAGTTACGTTGCTGTTGTGGGCCGAAGGCTGACGCTTTTCGTTTCATTTTGGGGGGATGCCTCGTTAAAAACCTCATTAGGAAAAACCCTTTGGGAAAAAATCCTAATGAGGGAAAAAGAGTGCACCGAATTCCCCCAATGATGAATCGAAAATGTCAAACCTTGGTAAAAATGGAGAATGACGGGAATGCCGAAGGCTCTCTCTTCTGAGGGCTCCTGTGTTGATTAGCCGAAGGCTGGTTGTTGATGTCCTGGTGGCGCCGAAGGGGAGTCCCTCAATGCAGGGATCGAGGGCCTGCCAGATGAGGGCGGCAGTGAAGTTGTTACCGGGGGGTCCGCTGTTTGTTGATTTGTTGGTGATGAAGATACCCGAGGGCTCCCCATTACCTGTGTGCCAGGGGCCATCCGTCAATGAGGAACTCCCTGGGGGCTACCCGGTTTTGCAGTGCTGAGGGGGAATCCCCGAGGGGTGCTCTGATATGAAGCCCTGGGTTTCTGAAGGAGTGATCCCGAAGGCGTCTGTTATGTGCTGTGTGGGGCACAACCCGGGGGCACTTCTGAGTGAGTGTACCCGGAGGCTATCCTTGATGAAGTGGAGTGAAGTAGAAAACCCGGGGGCTTCCAAAATATAGCCGTTGGAAATATAGCCGTTGGAATATGTAACGACGGGATATAGCCGTTGGGGGGGGGCACACGTGGCGTGTGATGGCTGGCTGTCCGTGGGCGGCGTCACCGGTTGGGCGAAGACGCGGTGAGTAATGATGGCGTCCATCCGGAGGCCCGGAACCCAGGCCCAAGCCCGGATTCCAGCGCCTATAAATACCCCAAGGCCAGAGCCATTTCCTCTTGTGCGATCAGTTGTTTCAGCGAAGCTCTGCCAAAAATTCTAGTGAGAGAAACTCCAGCCTTCGGTCAAAACTCTGCTTTCAAGGTCAGTGCCCTGCTCCTCTCTCAAAGTTTTTAGTAAGTTCCGCCCCCTGGCCTTAGATTAGGTTTAGAATCCTGTAGAGAGCCTTTGGAGTCCTAGGCTTATTCGTGATAAAAAATATCGTCCGAGAGCGATTCCCAGGACATCTCGAGGACGCCCTCGATGGAAGACGAAGGTATCTCCGATGCGGAGTCTAGTAGCAGTCAGCCCTCGGGTGGTGATGCAGCTCTCGCCACCGAGATGCAGAAGGATTTGGCGGCCGAGGTCGAGGCGGAGGAGTTCGAGCGAACTGTCGAAGATGAGGAGTTAGCCCTCGCCGTCCAGGTTGCTGAGGAGGAAGAAGAAAAGGGGAGGGCGAAGGTCACTGTCGCCGTTCTTCCCCCCCGGGGTTCTGGGGAAGTCAGTAGCTCGAGGCCGCTGGACCCGACGCCGTTAAGTGTAGCCCCCGGGAAGAAGAGGAGAAAGACGAATGTTACCCCCTGGAGGAAAGTAAAGGCCGTCGATCAGGGGGGCCCAGTTGATCTACCGGAGGGTTACTCCTTCCTGGACACCGCCGCTCTGGAGATTAAGTCCCAAGCTGACAGGGCGGACATCTACATCACCCAGTTGCATGTAGGGCCCTCGGCTGTGGTAGTCGAGCCAGGTCCTGATGACGTGCTGTCGCGGCCCCCCGAGGGATGTATAGCCGTGCACGTGCTCTCGGTCTTAATGGGCCTCCAGTTCCCTCTCCATCCGTTCCTCCGGGAGTACCTGAGGTACACCGGCCTGGTTCCCTGCCAATTGACCCCCAATAGCCACACGTACATAACTGGGTTCGTGAACCTGTGCAAACTCCGGGGGGTTACACCGAGCTTGGAGCTATTCTTCCAAAGCTTCAACCTATGTCGGGGGGGCCATACCAATGCCGAGGGCTATGCGAACTTATAGCAGATAGCCCAGTTCAAATTGTTCACCGAGGCCCCTTCTTCCAACAAGGGGTGGAGAGAGCGATGGTGCTACATCAGACTGGACGATAGCCCTTTCTCGAGGGAGTTGCGGAATTGCTTTCGGCGTCATGTGAAGGTCAAGAGCGCCGCCCTCGAGAAGGATGGCCTGAAGATCGCCGAGATTCCGGAGGGGCAGGATAAGAACATAACCATCAAGGAGTGCACCCTCGAGAAAGACCTGTATGCCCTCGGATTCCTGAGGTATCGGTTCATTGGGGAGACCGAGGAGAAGTATCCCCTCTATGATAAAGCCTTCGTGGGAGCAGGAGGTAGTGGCCGGGGGCTTTACATTTTTGTACTTTGAGATTTTCTGTCATGTTTGTTGTTGTGTCTCGGACCCCTCGGTGCTAACCTTTTAACTTGTTGTTTCTTTGTAGGTAGCAGGATGAATGCCAACGCTCTGTTCGCAAAGAGGAAGGGCAAGACCCAGTCCAAGGAGAAGGGGCCCTCGGGCCAGAAGCCAGTCGACGCGCTTTTCCCGAAGGTCATAGAGCCTTCCGCCGGGGACGCCCATGCTGCTGTGGGGACCGGGGGGTCGAAGGCCGAGGCGGCCGCTAAGAAGAAGAGGGGCGACAAGGGGGTGGAGCCCCCAACCAAGAAGCAGAAAGGCGCCGTGGGTGCTGTCGGGGCGGCGGCCCCCCTCATAATTATTGATGACATGCCCGCTGTTGATGGGCCTCTAGCCTCGGTGCCTCCGAAGGATCCGGTGAATCCCCCCGGGAGGAATTACCCCGGGAGATCCGTCAGCTCTCCTTTGCCCCCGGCGCTTCCCTGATGCACGGCACTGCCGAGCCGAGGAGCTTCCTTCGGGGCATCACCTCGAAGATGGACAGGGAAGTCTTCGAGACCTACGATGATGATGCCCTCGAGAACAGGATCCTCCGGTCCTCTCTCACTGTAAGTATCTGCTTCCTTTTCCCTTATCTTATCAGTTTAGTATTATCTTTCCCTGTGGGATAATCTAACTCCTTTGATCGTTGTTTGCAGGCCTGCATAGCCCTCGGGGAACAGGCCCGGAGGCGCGAAGAAAGGCGCCTTCACGAGGCCACCCAAGATAAGAAGGTGGAGGGGCTGATCCGCAAGAACTCCGAGGCGGTGAAGCATGCTGCACAGCTGGAGGAGGCCCTTCGGGAGGCGAAGGCGGCAGCGGAGAAGGCCAAAGCTGACGGCATTGCCGAGGGCAAGGCGGAGGCCGAGAGGGCTGCTGCCGAGGCGGCGAAAAAGGCTGCCGAAGAAGCCCAAACTGCTAAGGAGAGAGCTGCGGCCGAGGCCCGAGGGGAGGCAGTTGCGGAGTTCCTCGCTGAGGGCTGGAGGGCCGAGGGCCATAAGGAGTGGGTTGCCTCCGTGGTGGCAGCCTCGGTGGACGCTTGGGTAGAAGGCCCGAGGGTTGACTGGCTGACTGACAGGGGGGACGCCTACTACCAGGGGGGTGAGTTCTTTACCCAGCACTTGATCTACCGGAGGCTTGCCAGGCACTTTGGCGTGTCCCTCGAACAATTTGACCCCTCGGTATATGGCCTCCCTCCGCTGCAACCAGATGTCAGAGTTCCCCTCCCCCCGGGTGAAGAGCGGCCAACAATCTATGATTCTGTGATGATGGGGGGTGATGGGGGTGGAGCCGTCGGGGGTGATGCTGTCGGAGAAGAAGTCTCCTCCAAGGCTGTCGTGGAAGGTGCCCCCGGTGACAACGAGGCTGAAGCCGCCGAGAAGATTAGTACTTAGTCAATTTTTGAAAAAGCCTTGTAATGAAACTTTTGTCACCCCTCGGCTTTGGCCATACTCTGTAATGATCACATTGACTATTTTTTTGTTGTAATTGAATGATTGCCTTCGGGCTTTGTGTGTATGATATGCTTCCTTCTGATCTGTTCATTGTCGAATGTATGCCTTCGTCTTGCTTTGGATGTATGCCTTCTTTTTTTTTGAATGTATGTTTTAGGACTTAGAATATTTTTCGATTGTAGCTAGCCCTTGGGAGCTCTCGGTAGTTGGGCACCCTCTGCTGGATATGCAACCGAGGGCTCAGCAGCAATTAGGACTTGGAAATTTTTCTAAGTGTATCTCACCATAAGGCCTTCGGGTGTTTGTAGTAACCCAAATCCTAGGACTTAGAAAAATTTCAAAGTGTAGATTTCCCCTTGAGAGCCTTCGGGATACGGCGTCCCTTCCTGATGTGTGAATGTTGGACCGAGGGCCCAATGCACAGGACTTAGAGATTTTTTGCAAGTGTAGTATGCCATGTAGCCTTCGGCTACTGTGGAGCCCCAACTGAAATATTGAATAGGCCAGGGGCCAATTCTTTAGGACTTAGAAAATTTTCTTGAGTGTTGATTCCTTGTGAACTGTAGCCCTCGATTGATAGGTAGCCTTCGGGAATTAGGTCCCTCGAGATGAGGGTGAAATATGTAGGACTTAGAAAATCTTCTAAGTGTAGAGTTTCCCCTGGGAGCCTTCGGGAGGTGGCATCCCTCCATGATGTATGAGTAGTTGACCCGGGGTGGAAATATGCAGGACTTAGAAAATGTTCTAAGTGTAAAATCTCCCTTGGGAGCCTTCGGGAGATGGCATCCCTGGTTGATGTATGAGTAGTTGAACGGGGAAAAGCATGTAGTACTTAGAAAACATTCTAAGTGTAAAATCTCCCTTGGGAGCCTTGGTGTATGGCCTTCGGCTGTCACATTCCTCTAGCTGCAATACTAACTGAGCCGGGGGCCCATCTCTAGGACATAGAAATTTTCTTTGTTTGCAAGTGTTGTTGTATCGCATAGCCTTCGGCTATTGTATTCCCCTAGCTGTAGTGTTGATCGAGCCGGGGCCCAATTTTGGGACTTGGAATTTTTCAAGTGTTGTTTCTTTGTGTAGCCTTCGGGTGATAGGTGCCTTTTGACTCTACATTACTTTGCGAGATGCCCGGGGGCTGCTCCTTCAGGACTTAGAATTTGTTCTAAGCATAAATTGATGTTGAGTCCTGTTGTTGTGAAGAAAGCCAATGAGGAGTGTGTGCCCTCGGTATTTGTGCATAACAGATGCCTTCGGTGTCTGTTTGAAGTACCGTTTAGTGGACCTTGGATAGTCCAGTCCCTTTGTATTGTGGAAGCCTTCGGTGTTTTTGTGACCGGAGGTGACCAGGTAGTGGTCTTTGCCGTTTCCTGATGATATTTGTTCGAGTAGTATCCTTCGGGAAATAGGAGCCTTCAGTTACCGGAGGTGTTCCCGTGGGGAGCCCTCGGTTTGTTGTGATCTGTTGGAGTGTACTCTTTGATTTCTCGCTGAGTCTACTCCCCTTCACCCCCTCCTTTTTTTTTTTTGGTTGGTGGTGAAGGGAAGGCATCAAGAAACTTGGTTTCTTGGTAAGGCTGGGCCTGTTAGGAGACCATCAGAATACACCAATGGCTCTCCTCCCTCGGGTTAACCTTCCGAGTGCCGAGGGGATCGAGGGACGTTTCCTGGGCACAAGATATGGTGGTCCGTAACCTGCCTCCCCTTGGGGGATGGCGCGGAAAGCGCCTCATTTTTGAAAGTCGTCCCCTCGGCGCTAGACATAGTCCGTGGCCTGCCACACCCTTGGGGTGGTGGCGCGGGGAGCGTTTCGGTTTGGAAGTCGAATCCTGGGCATTTCTCATGCCTGTCATACCCTGGGGGTAGTGACGCGGATAGCGTTCCGTTTTTAAAGTCGAATCCTGGGCATTTCTCATGCCTGTCATACCCTGGGGGTAGTGACGCGGAAAGCGTTTCAAGGAAGGGTTTTCATTTGCACACTTGTTGCAAATGGCCGGGGGCATTACGTGCCGCCGGCACCGATGGTGGCGCCTTCGGTATATGCGTCCTCGTGGGGTACGGCTTTTAGAAACAACACTTGGTGTTAGTTTCGATGTGTAGCCCCCGGTACTTGGTACCGAGGGGTCTTCTGTAGGAACACTTGGTGTTCTCCTTTGTTGCAGTTGATGGAGGTGTCTACCCTCGGTACTTGGTACCGAAGGGTCTTCAAGTGAAACACTTGGTGTTTCCCAATAGATGTTTGGAAGTTGATAGGAGAGCATCTCCCTGGCACTGGGTGCCGAGGGGTCTTCTGTAGGAACACTTGGTGTTCTTTTTTGTTGTAGTTGATGTAGGCGTCTACCCTCGGTAATTGGTACCGAAGGGTCTTCAAATGAAACACTTGGTGTTTCCCAACAGATGTTTGGAAGTTGAGAGGAGAGCATATCCCTGGCACTGGGTGCCGAGGGGTCTTCTTTGGAACATCTTGGTGTCTTCTGTAGGAACACTTGGTGTTCTCATCTTTTCTTTTTTGATGTTGAAGGTGGGGATGTACCCTCGGCACTGGGTGCCGAAGGGAAATGAAATACATGGTGTTCCTTGTTGTTGGTGATAGGAGTTCCCTCCCTCGGTACTTGGTACCGAGGGGTCTTGACTGAAAACACGTGGTGTTTTCACTGTTTGTTGTAGGTGTTGATGGTGTCCGCCCTCGGCACTTGGTGCCGGAGGGGGTTCTTCTCGTGGTGAGGCCTGGGGCCTGTAGTCAGTATGAGGGCTTGATGTCTTGAATGTATCTTCATTCTCCGAAATTGGAGGCCTTGGGCCATAGGATAGTACATTCACTAGTTATGAGGGTTTGGCCGCTCTTACATTATTGATAAAATTTAACTAAATGGTGTACATTCCAGTGCCTAGGGACTTCTTTCCCATTGGGGCGTTTGAGCTTGTAGGTCCCGGGTTTGATGATGGCCGCTATGATGTAGGGGCCTTCGAATTTTGGTGCCATTTTTCCTCCCTCGGTTGGTTGGCTGGCTTCCCTCCTCCGGAGGACATAGTCCCCCACTTGAAATTCTCGGGTTCGAACTTTGGTGTCGATGTAGCTTTTAACTTGCCTTCGGTAGTTTTCTGCCCGGATGAAGGCCTGCTCCCGGCGTTCTGAAATGAGGTGGAGGTCGAGGGCCATGTTGCTGTCGTTGACCTCGGGGTCATACTGGATCACCCTTCGGGTAGGAAGGGTGACTTCCGTAGGAGCTTTGGCTTCAAAACCGTAGCAGAGGGAGAAGGGTGTTTCACCTGTAGCTCGCCGAGGGGTGGTGCGGTAGGCCCAAAGGATGTTGTGAAGTTCTTCTACCCAGCCACCGCCCTCGGCCTCCAGCTTCTTTTTGAGGCCCTCGAGCAAGGTCCGGTTGGCGTTCTCTACTTGCCCGTTGCCTTGAGGGTAGGCAACGGAGGAGAAGGTGTGTTTGATGCCCCATGCCTCCAGAAGGGCGCAGAAGGGGACTGCCTCAAATTGTGTCCCATTGTCGGAGATGATCTGCTGGGGGACGCCAAACCTTGTGAGGATGTTCTTGATGACGAAGTGACGGCACTTCGCCTCTGTGATGTTGGCGAGGGGTTCAGCCTCCACCCACTTGGTAAAATAGTCGACGGCCACAATGATGTATCTGTTGTTGGAGGTACCCCTCGGCAGAGGGCCCACAAGGTCTATCCCCCATCGAGAAAATGGGACAGAGGTGCTGATGGGGGCATAGTTGACCGATGGCCTGCCGGGAGCTTTCTGGAAATGTTGACATGCGGTGCACCTCCGGGCAAGGTCAGCACAGTCCCTGGCCATGGTTGGCCAGAAGTAGCCCTGGAGAATGAGCCTTCGGGACATGGAGAAGGGTCCCTGGTGAGCTGAGCAAGTGCCACTGTGTACTTCCTCCATTGCGACCTCGGCTTCATCTGGATGAAGGCACCGAAGTAGCGTGCCATTGTAAGATCGTTTGTAGAGCCTCCCATCTTCGATGGTGTAGCTAGGAGCCCTCAGCTTTGTCAGTTTAGCGCGGGTCTCATTCTCGGGTAGCTGCCCTGTGGAGATGAAGGCGATGATATCTGAGATCCAATCCTCTTGGCGTTGTTGTATGTTCATCACGGGGCTTGCATGGATGCTTGAGAGGCTGAGTTCCTCGATTTTGGCAATTTTGGAGATGTGCTCGGGGGAATCGGCCGAGAGCTTAGACAATATGTCGGCCTCGGAGTTCTGAGCCCTCGGTATTTGAGTGAGAGAGTGTGCCTCAAATACCTTAAGCAACTCCTTGGCCGCTTCTTTGTACTGTTTCATTCTCCCCTCCTTGGCCTCATATTCTTCGGAGATTTGGCCAACGACCAACTTGGAGTCGCATTTGATGTGGATCTGCCGAGCCCTCATGTTGGCAGCCAGCCGAAGGCCACATAGGAGGGTCTCATATTCGGCCTCATTGTTGGAGACTTTGAAGGAGAAGCGGATTGCATAGTAGGCCCTGAAGCCCTCGGGAGTAATGAGGACTACCCCTCCCCCGCATGCTTTGGTCGCGGAGGAGCCATCAGTGTAGAGGGTCTACCAGTCGTCTGAGGTAGCCGAGGGCTCCCCGTCCGTGGCTGCCCTTGCGGTACATTCCGTCACAAAGTCCGCCAGGGCTTGGCCCTTGATGGCAGGCCTTGGACGGATGTCAATGTTGTACTGACTCAAGAAGATAGCCCACTTCACCATGCGGGAGGAGCTGGTGGGGCTCCTCATGAGGGCGCCGAGGGGTTGATGGGTGAGGACCTGAACTGGGTGAGCCTGAAAGTAGTGGCCCAACTTCTTGACAGTCCAAACGATGGCTAGCACCGTTTTTTCCACAGGGGAGTACCTGAGCTCGGCCTCCCTTAGGGTCTTGCTAACGTAGAAGATGGCATGTTGGATGCCGTCTTCCTCCCGGATGAGCACAGAGCTGATGGCCGCCGAGCTAACCCCCAGGTAGAGGTAGAGGGTCTCCCCTACCTTGGGTTTGGAGAGCACAGGAGGTGAAGATAGATATCTTTTGAGCTCGTCGAAAGCCTCCTGGCATTCCGGAGTCCATAGAAAGCCAGCCGTCTTCCTCATG